CACTGTCCTCTGAACTCCACACATGGACCATGGTAATCATGCCTACAGATACATCACACATCTATCACAATACTAATTTTTAATTTTTTAAATGGACTGAAGAGACTGGACATGGTTCAGAGGTTAGGGGCACTTGCAGCTCTGCCAGAGGACTGAGGCTCACAACTTCCTTTAACTTTGCCTCAGGAACTCTGACGTCTTCTGGCCTTTGCAGGCACCTGCATGCCCTTGGGCTACATTCACTCACACAGATACAGACATACACACAATTTAAAATTTTAACACGGACTGGAAGACAAGCCTGTGTCCCAGTCTTTATCTAACTTGGTATTAGCTTAGACAGGTGGCTAAACCGGAAGCCACCACTGTCCCTCATTGTAAGATGAGAATTATAACATACAGAATTAAAATGATATAATCAGTGGTTTTAACTACTGAATACGCACTTACTACATTCCAAAGCATTTCAGAGATACTTTTATATACAAAGCAGTGATTTATTTTTCATTGTTTTAGGTGTTAGGAAAAGAAAGATATTGTTAGGCTGAGGATGTACAGGTTCTCTGTACTCAATGTGCATATATCCACACTTAAATGCACACATCTTTAAATGAAAAAAAAATGCTTCTGTAATTTCCATATACTTCCAATCTAGGAGTAATTGAGTTTCCTCATTTGCAAAATCAGCCTACTGGGTACTCTACATTTAAAACTATAACTGACTTTTTTTTTAATAGAAAAACATTGGTTGGCACATGTGGTGGTTTGTATGGGTATGGCCCCCATAGACTCATGTATTTGAATGCTTGGCCCATAGGGAGTGGCAGTATTAGGAGGTGTGGCCTTGTTGAAGGAAATGTGTCACCGTGGGGGCAGGCTTTGAAGTTTCCTATGCTCAACCTACGCCCAGTGTGGCACACGGTCTCCTTCTGCTGCCTGTGGATCAAGATGGAGAACTCTGGGCTCCTCCAGCGCCATGTCAGCCTCCACACTGCCATCCTTCCCGGCATGATGATAATGGACTAAATCTCTGAAACTGCAAGCCAGTTCCAATGAAATGTTTTCCTTTGTAAGAGTTTGCTGTGATCACGCTGTCCCTTCACAGCAAGGAAACCCTAACTAAGACAGCATACATTTTCTAGTATTGTGGATTGAACCCAGGGCCATGGCATGCCAGGCAATCCCTCTATACCACTGAACTACCCCTAAGTTCTAACAAAAGTGTTTTTAGCCAGGCGGTGGTGGTGCACGCCTTTAATCCCAGCACTTGGGAGGCAGAGGCAGGTGGATTTCTGAGTTTGAGGCCAGCCTGGTCTACAGAGTGAGTTCCAGGACAGCCAGGGCTACACAGAGAAACCCTGTCTCGAAAAAAAAAAAAAATGTTTTTAAGTGTCTGTATTATCATCCAGATCTGCATTAGAGGTGACAGGGTAATGCCTAGCCTGATGCTGGCAGCACAGTTGCCTGGTTAACTAATGTGACCTCTTTCCTTCTGACTGACAAAGGCTCACCTGCATGCCAAGCTGAAAGGCACCATAACTACCAGATGTTGTTTCCCAATGTGCTATTCAGAACCAGCTCTGAACAGCTCAGAGTTTCGTGTCTGACAACCCACCCTGAATGAAATCATTACCTTTAAAGTCTCCCTTAAGTGAGTCCCTATGTCCCAGCCACTTAATGACTATTTACAGAGTGAGGATGTGCATGAAGTGCTAATTTATGGAATGCATACGAAGAGCTAAAGGACAAATGAAAGATGGGTAAGTGTGTCATGCTTCTGATGTTGTAGGCACAGTGGAATGACGTCTCATCCAGTAGGCTTCAGATGAATGGCCAGTCTGCTCCATGCCACAAGTATGCTAGGATCCTGGGATTTGCATGGGCTCCATCCTGACTCACAAGCACAAGAATCAGACCAGGAGCAGGCAGGTGTCTCAGAAGTAGGAACACAAAGCCAGAGGTGTGAGCAGAGCGACACAGTGAGCTCTACCAGCAGGTGGTCTGGCATGCAGCCCTGCCTCTCTGCCTGGAGAGCTGTGCACTCTGGTAACTATGGAGGTCTTCATTTTCTTATCTGACACCATATCCTGCCAGGCAGTTGTGAGAACGTAGAACCCAGCACACACACAGCTACTGTCAGTACAAGGCATATCCATTTAGCTTTGGTTCCTAACATACTCTTTCGAACACAAGTACATAAAGCAAGCCTACCTCTCCACCTTCATAAGCAAGCCAGAAAATTATCTTTGGCAGGATTCCTCCTTTTCCAGAAAGAAGGATTTGGAGGGTTGCTGTGGGGACACACAAGTAGTTTGGCCAAATGTTGCATTTCTCTGAAGAGGTGTTCACCTGGAAAGGTGGGTTTGGACAGGAACTGAAGTAAGGAAGCCAGCTGAGTGGAGAAACCTAAGGAACGGCAGGTGTCACAATTCCCAGGAGCTTACAGTAGCTTGGGAGCAGAGATGATGAAAAAAAGAAAACCCAGCTGGCCCAGGTCCAAGAAAGCACATAACAAAGAACTGAAAAGCGAGCCCTTTATCCTGGAAGCAGACCAGGCAGCAAAAAGTGGCCTGGAGAAAGACTAGCCCTGGGCAGGTTAGGGAGGGAGAGTTCAGGGTGGGAGGCATGAGAAGCTTCAAGAGATCTAGGCAAGAGGAAAGGAGCATCGTTCTCCGATGGCTATCAGGAAGAGGCAGGCTGTGGCTAACCTTACAGAAGCTTGACTGTCTTCCCCGGGACTGAGCACAACTGTGCTCCGTCTGCTTGGATGTAAGTCTCACAATGCTTTGCTGCCTGCCAGTTACCTCTTCAGTTATTGTCTTAAAGGAACTGAGTCTCATGCAGCCAATTGTTAATCTTACCTCCCAAGACTTGTCCATCATACTATTGAAGACTGGCAGTATTCCATTGGGTTCCTTTCCACTCACTGTGCCCGCTCCTTCTCAGGGCCACTGAGAGAGGCATTTACACAGAGAATTTCAAAACTCTGGAATCAGGGCCATGGAAAGGCAACCAGCTGCTAACCCTAACACTGACTTTCAAGCCCTAGGACCCACATGGTAGAAGGAGAGAAAGAAGAGTATCCCTTGACATTCACATAAACACCATGGCACACACACGCACACAAATACATGTACACACACACGAGCACATACACATACCTGCACACAAATAAATGCAACAAAAAAATTAAAAACTCTGAATTCCTATAAATTCTAACCCTTGTAATCTTGACAAAGATAACATAAAAGGCTGCCAGGCCTAGTAGCACCCACCTGTCATCCTAACATTCAAAAAGGCAGAGGCAGGAGATGGTCAGTAATTCCACAGCCAGCCTAGGCTACATAGTAAGTTCAAAGCCAGCATGATCTACATAGGGAGACTGCCTCAAAAGGGGGTGGGCAAGTGGGGGGGGAGAGTAGAAAGAAAGAACAAAACAAGAAAAGGCTAGGGATGTAGTAGCAGAACACCTGCTTGTGTACAAGACCCCGGGATCCATTGCCAGCATGACAGACACACTAAATGCTGCCCTGGGGACATACCTCTGTGGTCGAGCACTAGAATGTTTACAGCCCTGTTCAATCCTGGTGCGAGCACACACACACACACACACACACACACACACACACACACACAGGGGAGGGGGAGGAGGGAGGAAGGAGGAAGGAAAAGCATATATTCAAACTCCCTTTAAGAAGTCACCTGTGCCTACTGAGTACTTCCCTCTCTCTTCTATAATGTACTCACCATGGCTAGCAAGTGGCTCAAAATTCTCAAGCAGTCTTACCTGTTCGGTCTCCTTCCATTTTTTTTTTTTAAAGCTCATTAAAGCCAGGAGAAAGCAGGAAACAGAACAGCTGGTTTACTTAAGCTCCATATACATAGCTAGTGAATGGGAAGTACATGGTCCAGCCCTGAAGGTAGGAGCTGGCATTCATGGTGCCAAAACTAACTGGTCATATGAAACTGAAAAAGTCAGAGAAACTCGAAGGTAAGATTTTGCAGAAACAAATGATTGTAACTTCTCAAACATTTACAGCACGGGTGGAGGAAGCACCCCCCCCCCCAGGAAGACATTGCCAGGTCTTTGTTATTTAACTTGCAAACTGAAGGTCTATGGTGCGAGTACTTTAAAGTTAAAGCCTTTTATCTCCCTTAATTAGTTCCTACCCATTTGCTATTCGCCTTTGAAGTCTACTTCCATTCCCTAAATT